AATACAGATGGAAGCTAAGTAAATACGACGATTGTACTACAAGTAGACGACTAAAGAGACCGTCTGTTGTCTCTTGCCGACGAGTTTGACGTCTAAATTCCATGCGATCACATCGACACTAAAGAGAAACAGGCGTAAAAGGAGCACCAGTACGTAAGTAATACATTATATTCGCTATGCGAGCGAGAGCAGTAGCAAAAACTTAATGAAAATAGCTAGGACCGTACTCAATGTCCCGTTGCTGTTCCTGCTGGCCATAGTCTTAGTGTTCCGTTCGTGTGACACAATGACCAGACTTTGGACGGGCCGCGAATGCTTTAACAGGCGGATGACAATAAGAAATGAAGGGATCTTGGTCGGTTCGGCTTTCCGAATGGTCAGCTTAAGTGCAGACCCGGTCTGAACAGCGACAGCGTCTATATTGCCCAAAAACTAAGCGGAGGTGATAGTATCTAAACGACGATGGTGGGGAGCCGGCAGGACAGCTCCCGTGGGGATTTTATTGATTTTCATCTCACAGATGCTCTCCTATCGCGGCTGCATGTTTTCGATGAGACATCGGACGACAATTGTTCAATATCATCTGCTCAGAAGAGCAACATGCACGATGTATGTTAGCTCTTTTCATTTTTATTTTAATTGTTTACACAGTAAATATGTTAATGTTAGATGTATGTATGGTACACAATCTATAAGACAAATTGACGATAAAACTATTAGAATATTATGTGTAAAACAAAGATTTGCACATATTATGATGTAGGATTTGCGGGACGACATTTAACGTTGCGGTCAGTCATGTGGTTAAGCAGATTCGTTTCACGGATACTTATCTTATTAATTAGATAATGCATCCAAAAAATCGTTCTATTGATGGTGACAATCATAATGTTAATTGGACCTTGTATGTAAAGGTGCGTTTCTTCCAATCCGTTTTTCTAACTCTGAAGAGCCCTAGGTAGATGTTTTGTAAGGCAAAATATACCCTTACTGTCTTGAATATAGTGTACTAATAAGATAGTAAGGACACGACGATGGCATCGTTTCGTAGAAGATGGGGCTCCTTACTCTACGTCTAACATATAGCTTATTTTCGCATGAAGCAAACTAACGTCAGTCACAGCGACCGCTTCTTCCAGGTGAGCGACGATCCACTAACACTATGTAGAGTATGTAATATACTATATCGTTACAAAATATAATTAATGCCATGCGACCAGTCATATCCCCGGAAAGCAGTGTACATTTTTCTGGATTCGATCTGTCTCGTGGAAACGACAGAATTAAAAATAGGCCGGTTCATGAAACTAGGCCAATTCAGTGTACATCTTTATTTTCTATACGGACAACGTAGGCATATGTAAGTGTTCATCATCAGTTCAGATACACCACTAGATTGACGGCGGACTTATAATTTTATTTTCTCATTGAAGATAAATCCAGACGACACAGACTGACGCGGTATCTCGCCGTATCGTATAGATGCACCTGTAACGCAGATAGCGTTTTTTTCTTGTGAACAGCTTTTCAAACAGGGACCGAACTTTAGCTTCACGTCAAGGTACAGTGTCACTCCATTATTATGTTAATACCATCTTTCACATATTATTGAAAATGTAGTAACACTTATAGTTTCATTACTCGCTATATTTCTAGTTCATCACTTTATTTTTATTCCAATAACAACGTTCTGTATAATTATCTGGAATTTAATGCAAGTCAGGATAAACGCAACGAATTGTACAATCAGCGCCGTGTCAGCAGCATCAGCTATAACCGCTTCTGGTGCTTTCGTTTATACGAGGTTGCTACAAATGACGGCCTTTTGCCGTCTGCCCTTCTCTATGACGATGACATAATTTCGACACGCAAAGGTCAGCAGGTCGTTTGATAGATTTTTGTTTTGGGGAACGAATTTCTCATGGACCTTGAAGAGGTGCCCTATAAACCTTTTTACCTGCGGATTTGATTAGTCTATTCCATGCGATTTACTACTTCTTACAGATAAACACGTTTTCCGAGTATTGCGCCTTGCTTCGGCAAATGGCTGCGTCAACTAACGGATGTTGAACCCTAAAAACTGAGATGATCTCTTCAGAAGCTCAATCAGGCGAAGCCAAAGAACGCGTTTAGCTAGCAAGCAAGCAAGCAACCAAAGTTCCGCCAAGCCATCGTGGAACCTAGCAGAAAACCAGAATTGCGGTCTAATCTTGTTCCACAATCACCACAGCCGGAACCACGGCGTTACCTTCAGGTCCTTCAACAATTCAGGTCGATTGAGCAACTGACGCAATGCAAGGACAGCAAACGAGTAACGGGGGATAGTGGCACCCGACAGAAGAAAGAGAAGTCGACATGACATCAGGGAAAAGCTTACTATTTCCATATGTATTGCCATGAACAGATGAGTGGATAGCCGACCTGGCATGCGACACAAAGGGATGTGGCTATAAGAACACAGGAAAAATGTAAAATTCCCTGAAAATGACAAGAATGAAAAAAGTCAAAGAAGAACAGAGTGAAGCAAGGATGAGCGAACTAGATAGGCAGATTCTTTGTTTTCAATAACCGAGGACCGCAAACGCTGCACTTGCCGTCACGTGTTTGGGGATCTGTCGGTCAATTTCCAGCTGTAAAGAAAGAACCAAACTGTAAAGAATAAGGTCTAGCCGAAAAGGGACAACGGAAGCAACCGGATCTATGGTCGCGCTTCGATCTGAAGAAACAAACGCAGATTACAGTTTTCAACCGGATGAATCCTACTTAGTTCTGAGCAGCTAGTGTTTCTATGGTAGCAATCCTTGTCGCACAACAGCAAGGCTCTAGTCGGTAATGTTCGGTTGATTGTTAAGCAAATGCAAGGATAACAAGACTTCGCCATTAGCCACAGTAAGACACAGAAACGCACTAAGGAACACGAGAGTTGAAACGGTCAATCTACAAAATATGTACGCGCTTCAACCTGGGTACACAAAACATAATAAACATTTACCGCTTATATTGTCCATATTCTTTACAATCGTAATCACAATTATAGCGCAATTCCTGAGCTTTACTCAGCGTTTACCGCTGACTATGCTAGGCCGATGGCCTGCGTGGACCTGTGGGCCGCCATCAAGCGCCCCGTTCATCCACCGACCAATCTGGAACCCTTTCTCGAATAGCTCTCTCCGTATTTGGTCTGTTGACAGTTCGGAGAAAAACAACAGCAACAGTAGCTCGTGAGAGTATATCGGTCGCGCACGAAAAGATATCGTATTTTAATACTATCAGTATATTATTACGTTGTTGTGAACTTTCGTATTTCAAGGTTTCTCTCTGCTTGCATATGCTTTTCTTCGTTACGACTCGCTGTGTCAGCTATGTACAGCCTTTAGTCCTTTCCTAAATGTTGCTTATAGACACTCTCGCCATCAATGCGACATTTGCTTCCTCTACCAACAATTACTCATACGGAAACTAGCTTATATTTAACATAACTTATTATATAATACTTTATATATGTGTATTGTATATGCATGTGGTCATACCTTCCTGCGCTTCATTTTCACGTTTTTCACAGTTCGATGACAGCGCTTTCATCCCTCTCGTTATTATCTGTTCTTCACGTGATTATGCAGTAGTAAGGAGTTGGCCTACTAAAATTAGGGCCACTTGAGGTATTTTTCGTACTCTAGACTTAAAACTAGGGTACAGAAGATTAAAAAAATCAATACTATCCCTTTCTCGTTAAATTAATGTGACCAGTCTTTCATAAAAGGGTTGGAAATGAGCAGAGTTCTATTTACTCGCACACCTTTCACTTACTAGCCCTCAACGAAGACGAAATTCCCTAATATTAAGAAAGAGGCTAGAAGTCGATAAGTATCACTCTTATCATCATAGGTTGCCTTATATCTACAAAGCTATGTAAAAGAGGCATTGTAGCGAGACAATGATATCTCTGATCTCGGTTGAAATAAGGCCCAATATTCGGGCCGAACCAGGTACTCGGTCCCTATAAAATAGGCCTCGTGAAATTATTTCCACTGCTCTCTAAAAATAGCAGATTTAGCAGGTAAAGTCATGTTCTTTTTTGTCTTCCTGTACTTGACTCGAAATCAGTTACCACTGGCCTGTTTCAATGGCAATAAAACAAGGTAACTCTTCATCGGCTCTGGTTCTAAACCATTTATCACTGATCTTTCTTTATTTGTCTGTATCTGTAGAATACATTTCTCCTGAACTTCAGACTATATTGACAAGTCAAGCTAATCTCTTTTTCTGTTCAAACATTCCATTATTTCTCTGATGTGCGATTCAATATTATATAAAATCATCAGTTACTCCATGAGACGACTGATTCCCCGCACGAAACGAAGTGTGTCTCTGCCCGGATCCAAATCTAGACCCCTATGTGTTTCGAAGTTTATTAGGTAAATGTATTACTTACCAAACTCACCGAAAGCATTAACTATTTAATATTCTCTAATCAACGACGGCGATGCCTAATGGCACACAGTGCTCGAGTGCCACAATATCTATCGGTTTACCGCATCAGTCCTTATACATGTTTTACTTCTACGCACAAAGAGCACCCTTTTTTCTCCTAAATAAAGCTGATCATTTTGTATCTTTTCTGCCTGTTTACTCACCGCCTGCCCATATTTCTCTTGAATGTATTTACATTACGCCTTTTACTACTGTGCTGTTTAGTGGTTTTTACCATGGTCAAGCTGAAAGCTGTTTCCATGCATGTGGGCATGACTATCTATTTTTTTTTTTTTTTGTTCCTTCTAAGTGATTTTTTTTCATCAATTACTATTTGGTTAATATTTACATCTCAGCTGACTACGCTATCATAATTTTTGATGAAGTTGCTTCTTTATATACCTTTAATGTATATAATTGTTTAAATACTTAGGCATTTTTGAGACGGCCGAGTTTTTCCGATGCTTTGCACGTAGATCTGAGAATAGCGAAACAAAAGATATCATCTTTTTTTTTTTTTCTTTTTCCATTCCGGTGAAGCATAGTGACTAATTTGCTTTCCGATTTAGCGATTTTCTATGTTGTTTTGTCACGCTTTTCAGTACTGTTATGCTGTTAGGTAAAACAAGTATTTCAAAAAATTGTCTATGAAAGAAGCGCTAACAAATGTCCGACCAGGCAGCATAAATCGCTGAACTTGCGCTCGATAATATACGATCAGTATAGGCAATTGATTAACTAGTGACATGCTACGTACAATATTTTGCCTGAACGAGCATTGTTCCAGCGTTGCTGATAGCCATATACGTTGTCGATATGAGCCTGGGTGCGGGTTTCTCAAAAGGAACAAACGTATCATACGGCGCAGCGTACCATAGGCCAAATAGAGCATGCACTTATATTTCACAATGATTTATCCGCTCGTTTTTGCCCTTTGTAGCCTAGTAAAAGCCTTTTTCCTCGTTTCCAAAACAATCCAAACTACGACGATGTTGAAGGAAGTTGGGAAGCGGAAGCTCGGCAGAGTACGTCGCTTGCCACTGTCTCGGCTATTAAAGGATCTCGCTTTCGATTGTATTTGAGGCCTGAAAAAATTTAGCTCTTCGTAGTATCTCTATCTTGGATTAAAATTCAATTGAGAACCCTGAAGAGTATGTTGCGCCGCTATCATGAAATAGACGATGAACCAACTGGATGTAGGCAGTCAGGCAGTAGACCCTTGTATACGTAGAGCTACGGTTACAAGGGATTAACGGGAATATTTTGCAATATGTTACGTTGCGGTCACGTTAAGAGCATTTCCGAGTATTGATATCATGTACGACATGCGGGTTCTCAAAAGCTCTTTCTTGGCAAGTTTGCCTACAGGGCTAATATATACCTAACGATATTAGGGTAATTAAGCTCTAGAGTATCGATGAAAGGTAAGCGAAGCATAATCTATTACGATGGATAGGCAAATACAAAAATAGAAGATAACAGACTAGAAAAAATAAGCCAATGAAATAGTAACTACTATTGTCAAACCTTATGGTGAACAGACTGTATGTCGAATTCACGAGAACGACGATATCGCTGGTCTGATGCCTAGCCCATAACCTTGTGTTTTCAAGCAATAGAGTGCCTTAGGGAAGTATACAGTCTTTTCCAGCAACGCATCAAAAATCACCTTCTACTACGTAAAAGTATCATTATTGAATACATGCCATGTTTTTGGACTTTTCCCTTTTTCAACTTTTCATTAGTTAATCTGTTAGACAGTGTTCGAAAATACTGCATAAACGGTAGCCGCAGAGTGAATATGTCCCTGCACGCGTAAAATATGGCGCCACACCCATCTCTAATACCGTCCTCCACCCAATAGCTTAGAGGTATCTATTTCGCAAACGATGTTTGAGTTCCGTTCTATTTTTCCCATCAAGAACGGAAAGACGAAGACAACAAATGTGGTTTTTGCTACTGAAGCTGTCATTGCTGCTGCCGCTGTTCTTGTTGTTTTTTCAACTAACAGTATATATACAGAGCCAAGTTTGACCGATTTGTTTATTACCATTTGATGTAGCCGGCCATTAGTTTATTTTATCAATAACTCCGCGGCTGACCTATGAGTGGCACGGCCTCTTTCCACGTCCTTTTTCCCCTTCCTCATCCAACTGGACTAGGGTTAGGCGAGACGGCCTGAATGTTAGCATAGTGTTACTGCTTGTACGTACTAACAAGCGGCTGTGTAGAAAAAAATTACAGGCAGATCTAGAACACCGTACAGGCATAGGCTTGGCATCTCTGGCGTTCCTAAACAGCTACGGTAGGCAACTCGTTGATAAGCGATTTGTCATCTATCCCCGTCACCGTTCACAAGTACACAAGCATATAATATATCTAATTGCTCTGCTCGCGTCCACGAAAAAAATGGAGTTCTTCCAGAGTGTTATCTTAAGCTAACACAAAAAATACCAAAAATCAAACGAAACTCAATTGCTACTTTATCTTAAATAGTTAACTTTTTCAAACACTTACTTAGCTCTGCCTGGCCAGTTGAAATCGGTTCGACGTAAACAATGTGTACACATTAACATTAGGTGTACCTTTTCTAAGGTTGGCTGAACACTGTGGAGTGCCGTGGCAAACCGAAGAGGGGGTAAAGTACCCCGCTGCCCGTCGTGACGAGTTTCATCCTATCTTAACGGGTACGTACAAGTACAATTGCAGGGCTAGTAAGCAGGATTGCAGGAGGTTTATTCTGCTAAAAATTTGCTGGAAAAATAGCTTAATCTCATTTTGGAGTGGATATGCATGCGTATATAGGGTCATTCGTTATCTACGCACCAACTTTATCCAAATGTTTGCGTTTTAATAAAGAAAGACAGAACTAAACACCAACAGAGAATGCCATTTTACAGTGAGGCCAAAGCGGAGAATTGAGGTCATCGTATTTTTCCCAAGCCCAACATCTACCGCGACCGAAATATACCAACTGAAAATAATAATTACCAAAAAAAACTTATAGTATTCAAACGACGAAAAGCTATATTAGTAGTAGTAGAAACGATTGAAATAGTTAATCAACTGCCAAGTTCCCGAAAAAAAAAACAAAAAAAAAAGAACAAAAAAAAAAGTATAAAATCATGTGCACAGAAAGCACACTTCACCTCTGTAGGCCTTTGGCGTAGCTTTACACGAAGGTTTAAAATTATCACGCCTTCATCTATTGTCCCATGTCGCTAGTAGCGTAGGAAATCGCTAATAGTGAAAGCATCTCAGGCAACCCGAATATGCTCATTTCTCGCCGATTGAGCTAGCTGGTACGAGCATGCGGTGCTGAGCAAAGATTTCAGTGTCCCGTACAATTCGACTCAGTTAAACGTTGGGTTTTAGCCTGTAGAACGCGCGAAACCCAACCCTAATCTTGTATCAAAAATCGTCTTTTAAGTTTATTCGCGATTTTCTTTGACCGGGTTGAGAAATAAGCAAAACTGGCTATATCTCTGGCTACGGAAATAATGTTGAGGATCTTCTGTGGCGGACATTGGATGAACTCGCACGACTAGATAAGTCAGATCGAGTAATAACTGGTTTTAATCACAGGTTGCTATCTTCAACGTACGAAGTAGCAAAAGTTATCGAAAGCTTAGTGAACATAATTTCCCAAGGAGCAGCTGTGCCGTACCGTTGCCGGTCCCTTCACGAGACTTAAGCCGCAACAGTTCCTTTGGGGTTTTTTGAAAAGTCGTATTAATAGAACTAGGCCTCCCACAAAAGGAAATCAACACAAGTAAGTATGCCTAAAACGAGAGTTTGACAATTACTCGCAGTCTATATACATAAAAAAAAAAAGCGCTGACGAAAAGCATTTTAATTTTGTAAACACATTCTGAATGGGTTCACTCGGGTGATACATTGTTCCGAACATGATCTTGTGTACATTGTACATAGTTACTAGACTGGCTTCATGTCTCACAGATCTAGCACGTCTGGATGGCGAAACCCTAAATTTAAAACGATGGACATATGTGTGTATTTGCAAGATTTACACGTGCGACAAAATACTATCTAATAATATAGTTGATAATCGAGGAGCCCCAACGTGAAAATGCCGCTGTGTATCGCAAACTTACGAAACGTCCGGACATTAAAAAAGGACACGACGGCAGCCGCATGTGCACGTCAGACCGCAACAATAGCTACGACAGTACGAGCAGTTAAATGGGCACCGGTTTGGCCCTTATCGTAAACAACGGCTCGTTATTTTTCGAATATCCCCTCGCGTACGAACAACGAAGTCAAAAAAAAAACAAGTTCCGGCTATATGCAAATGCCTTGCGGCAGACAGATAAGCAACCGTAAGATCAGCTGACATGGGCACTAGTGCTGATCCTGGAAGTGCCGTAAAGACAACGGAAGGGTTGGACTAACATTCCTAGCGGAAACGCAAAGGAAAAGCAGATAAAAACGACGAGAATGAGGTTAAAAAGAGGGAGGAAGGGTACGGGTGTGTGGTAGGGGAGAATATTAATAGCCTAACACGATACAACCTTAATCGGCTACCCCACGGTGAAGCTCAGCAGCTCATTAAGTTGCGAGATGCTGTCTGTCCAGCTGCTAATTGCTATTCTTACCATTCGTCGTGGCCCAATGTACGACACAGACAACAGATAAAACAAAAAAACGAAAAATCCAGTGCATCCGTTGAGTACCGATGTGACGACAACAGCGGCAGCAGTCATAATAGTAGCAGCAGCAGAAATAAAGAATGAGGACCGAGGTACACTTCAACGACGAAGGGACAACAGGACATGGTGGATAAATTGGGCTAGGCGTAGCAAAGGGATCAGGCGATCAGAGGTGATGTCTGAGAGCCAAGAAAACGTTCTGTCACTTCTTTATCTTTTTTCTGTTACCTGTATTATTGCTTAGTTATGCAGATGCCCCTTTCCACTTATCGGCACCTCACATCGGAAGTTCGTCTTTAGTTATAACAACGGCAGCCATTATCTCCGTAACCATATGTCTATTTGAACTTAACGCTGTCTAGAGAGCGATACAACTAACTTAATTTGCCCATTTGTATTTTGCCGGCCGTTACGAATGATCGATTAACACATGAATCGAAGATGCAATTAGTTCTGCGTGATGCCACCAAATGACATTAACAACTTGTAGTCTACCTACACCGGCCCATCCACACAATGCAAACTTGTCAGGCAACAGCCAAATCAAAACAACACTGTGAAAAAAAAACAAATAGAGCTTAGAAATAACCGTGGCCATTTTGGACACCCCTCTCCACCTGCGTCTGCTACTTGTCATTACGTTTCCTATTTCTGCAACGGCAGCGACTTACGCTGTTACCCAAGCGGAAACCGTTGTCGAGTTTTGCTCTACAGCAAACGATGCTGACGTAAATTCGTTTAATGTTAGATAAAGGCGAAAAGGACAAAAGCGAGTCCAACATTTTATTAAAAAAGAGACACGAAACTAGAGATGAGTAAAAAATCGGAAGACTAACAAGACGCCGTTGTATTCGTGCGTCTACTGATCATTTGGGACCTGCTCAGTCCGTATGCGTACGCTGCACTTTATGTCATTTACCCATAGACTGATCTACCATGCGAAGAAAAAAAGGTACAGAATGCTAAATCACTATAGAGATTACTCTGTTCTTCATAACACCGATGAATCCAGTAGCAGTAGTCGTAGAAGTGGTAAAAGATTTGCTAAAAAAGATCTCAAGCAATAGTTAACGGCAGTAGCGGACACCGTTCTCGAATTATGTTTTTCTATTAAAGTCGAAATAGTGAGATGAGCCCAGACAACAAATGGATGCACTATAGCATCTTAACAGAAGCCACATTTCATTATCAGAGCGTTTCGTTATCAGAAACTGTCTGCACGCCTACCGCGCATCGATGCAAGCGCGTACCGACGACGCTGACGTATGAAAGGGCACAAACGATTTAAAGGAAAGCGCTCTCTTTTTTTCAACACACAAGCTCGCATATATACGTACGTATATATACGTACTTACGAATTTACTTCTATTCGTTGGTACACGCATACTCCATTGGCCATCGGCAACTCTTACTAATTATGATACTACCATGTGGTCATTGCCATTACATTTATTGCCAGTAACGGACCATCCAGAAAAAAAGATACTATGTCGAAACGATACGACGCGGCAGAATCGGCGATGACCGTTGAATTGTCGGTGGAAGCGGCAGTAGCAGCTGCTACTGGGATGAGTTCATCGTGGTAACGAGAAATTGGATTGTGTAACGGCATTAGAAAATTGAACAGTAGTCAAAGTGGGTGGGCTGAATCGTCCTAGACGGAATAGACGGATAGGGCCCGTTTAGGGCTTGCAAGCCTGCTGGGTGAGCCATGCCCCGTGATCCTTATCGTGGAGGAGGTCGTAAAGGGAAGAAGAAGAGTAAGATAGTGTTATGGAAAAAGAAAGAGCCTAGAAATAGGCGGATGACTAAAATAGGAGAGGCGAGAAAACAGTCAAAAAGGAAAGAAAGGTCAAACGTCGAAAATCAGTTGTAATGTGCTTTTTTGCTTGCTTGCTCGCTCGTCTGTTCTTTGCCTTCCGCTTTGACTTTTTACTCAAGTTTCGTGTTTTCGCAATGGTTCCCTTTTATTTGACAATTGTGAATGGAAAAAGTTACATCTGGGTAGAATTCTGCGACGGAGAGGACGTCCGAGAAGATGGCGAGCAAGCGTTTGGCGAGGAAGCAACGCACTACCAATTGACAGACGATTCAATGAGATCCTGATGTTGTGTTAGTAGCTGTCAGGACGGAGTCCTACAGCAGTTAGATCGCTTTTTGTATCTCGCCGCTTCGACTGCTTGAGCCGGAGCGGTGCCTTTCCCGATGTTCCTTTTTAGCCAACCGTCCAAAACCACCTTAAAGTGCTTCAAGAGCAATTTCACTGCTCGCGAAGATTTGTGAGGAGAGCTCGATAAAGCGCGTTTTCGGACTCTGCCACAGCTCTCAGAAGAAGCAACCACCGCCACTGCCGCCAACGCTGCCCCCGTCGTGGTCGTAAAGAGTTTCCCGATGAATCTTTTTCTTGGCAAAGCCTATCGAAACGGCAAAAACGATAGTCACGAAACGAATAGCTCGTCTGGCCCTCTGCATAGCAGCTGTATGCTGTGTACCAATATAATAATTCATTGTCAAGTTAAATTTTATTTATTTACTTATGCTCGTACGTAGTAGCTCCACATATAGAGGTCAATAATACAGTGTCTCAATATCAGGGAGAGTATAATAGAACTATCTAAAAAACACTTTGCGTCATCGAGCTTATACAGGTTTTGTTGAGTTTATAAAACTAGCCTAAGATGGTAGCAGGGGGCAACGAGTGCCGTGATATCACAATCTATCCCGTATCTGGAGCACGATTATGTATTGGTCAATTCGGGAAAAACCTAATTTCTTGCAGAGTCTATACCGGTAGAAGATTTCTCTTTGTTGTTCCTCATCTTAGCTAATGGATCCGCATCAATCTCCACAAACAATAATGCATTCTAACAGTAGTCAGGTCATCTGTGCTCATCATCATATACTCGAGTATCGTGATTTACATATGTGAATTTCAGTGTCGTTGTTTCGCGAGACCAGAAATGTTAAACTCTAATGTTAGACGTAACAATGAAAAGAGACCAGATATCTTCAAATGTTGTTACCATTCATGTTAGGCGTTTCTTCACTAGAATTCAG